GAGATCATTCACCCGATTCACAAAACTCTGAAAATCCATGTTGATCTTATTCTTCCTATCCCTCTCCCTTTGCTCTTCTTCAATCTCATCTGGATCATAAGCAGACCTCTTTCCCCCTCCCAATGTCTGGACTACATCCATAACCTCAACATAGAATTGCACATCCTTAGTTTTTTTATTTCCCACCATTATGTGGTTGTGCAGATGAAAGTGAAGGAGAGTGATCATCTCTTTCTCGGCGGGCTGGAAGAATGCATGCTTTATGTTTCCATACATAATGTCAACACGCTCATCAGCTCTGGTAGTAGAATACCGAAAACCATTAACATGGGCTTCAAGTGTTCCTGGAATCTTTCTCCCACGGCCACCAAAAACAGGACGAATCCAAAGGTCAGATAACCTTATAGGCTTGAACTTGTTCCCTGCAAGTTGGAGTTTCTCCTGAGTAACCAAGGTTGCCCTCTCAGCTTTCTCAGATTCCCTGGCCACAACATGCCGACGAAGTGTTTTAATCTGCTGTACCACTTCACTTATGTGCCTTGGATCCTTGGAGCGAAATGAGACTTCTTTTAGATATATTGCTCCTTGATTCTTTAAAGAGTTTGAATCATGGGGACTAAACGGAGTCCCTGGAACGTGGAATATTATCCGGATAAAGCAATTTCGATTGGTATCCTGCTGGCTGGAAACTGTCCTTATAGTAGCCACATGAAAAGGGACCATACTACCATATATTGGTAAGAGCACAGCCTCATTCTTTTGGTCAATTTGGATCATAAAATTTTTTGGAAGGGGCAGGTCATTGACATTCTTATAGGCAATCAAATCAGCTGAAGTCTTTGCAACTGCTCGATTGTCTCCAGTGCCCATTCCACCTGCAAGCCGCCTAGCTGTTTCTTCATTCTTCTGACGAGCAAGTTCTGCTTGGTGCTGCCTCCTTAACTCCTCCTTGGAGATCTCATGATTATCTGATCTGAGCATTGTCTTAGAAATGAAGGGGTCAGAGCCATTAGTTTCAGCCCTCACTGACGTTTCTTCTTCTTCCTCATCCTCATTGAATGAGTAAGCTACATCCTTAACAGCCTTGGAACTTTTTCCAGTCACCACTTCTGTATTCTGTTCACCAACAATAACTGTATCAGCAAGTAACAGAGAAAAATTCCTGTTCTTTGGAATATTACTCTCGCACTGCAAGTTCTGAAAACCTAGTGACACGTTGAAAACCATTCCTGCTTTGACCACACATTCATTCTTCGCATTGAGATTAAGCCCTGACTCACGAAACTCAAGACCAATTCCTGTCCCAGCTGATTTTGTTAGATTTGTGATCAAATCAGGAGCATCCTTCTCAACAACTGAAAGTGCTGCTTGATAGGCAGCACTAATTCTACTCCCAGGTTTCAACATACCAATTGCAGCTTCATGGGCCTTAAGAAGAACCTCATATGCCTTGCTCTGAAGTGGAGTGGCATCAATCAAGAAAGTCCTGGCAATATTTGAGCAATAACTATTATAGCGAGCTCCAACTGCACATAAGATAACACTGGCAGAATCATAGTACAGGTTCTCTTCATTACTTGCAGCACTAGGTCTGAGATCAAACTCACCCCCACTTTGAAATATGGGAGGGTAACAAATATCAACATTCTCTGGCTTGAGCTTTACTTTCGCCAGCTGTGGATTCAATATGGATTTCTCTGTCTCATCCATCAAGGTAGCGTGACTGATTTTCTTTTCCTCATCAATTACATTCTCAAGCCTTGGAACCACAATATTGTTCATCACATTGTAACTTAAATAAGCAGCTTTCTTCACATTCATAAGCTCTTCTTTGTCTTTCACAGCAAACAGGTCAGATAACACGTTGGTTACATCAGTAAGCCGAAAGCTAGCACTTTTTAGTTTTTCAGCCCATATCTCTAAAAGCTTTCCTTCAGGAGCCTCTCGGGCTATGTAACCAAAAACAGGAGCATCATTTCCAAATCCCTTGTATTGTGCTCCAATGGACCGAAATATAGCTTCCATCAATGCAGTTCCATCATCACTCTTTGCCCTCACATGCATCACAACATCAACTCCCACAGCCTCCTTGGCAGATTTTTTCACAACTTCAAGCAGAGATGCCTTCTTCTGGCTACACAAGAAATGAACATGCTTCATTGTGAAAACCATAATTGTCTCTGGAAACTCATAACCTAGCAACCAAATGTTTAGAGCTGAAGATTTCAGGTAACGCAAATCATCTGAAGGTGGTGGCGTTGCTACTGCAAGGACACCAGAAGAACCCCAAAGCTCAGCTTTCTGTTCATTCCAATGCGAATACAAAGCCTTCAAACGTTTTCTGAAGTTATCCAGATTAATAGAGTAAATACTTCCTGATCCAGTAGCTGTTCCATTTGGAGGCTGGCCATTTGCATTCCGATGATCAGCCATTTAGAAGCTATTCTGCATAGAAAGTAGGGCTAATAATAACCGTTAGTTAGAGATGATTAAAGAATAAATGTAACCGCAAAAAGAAGGGAAATGTCTATCCAACAGTTCAACACCAATTACAAAAAACTTGAATTTAGGGCTCGGTTAGCTTTTAAGGAACCTTAAAACACTTCAGAGACTACAAGAATCAAAGAACAAAAATGCAACACACCAACATTTCTCACTCTTCATGAATAAACATTCAACAAACTTAAATTGAAAACCAGAAATTTTAAGTTCGATTAAGCTTAAGTATCAAAAATTAATACTAGAAAACATATAAAACCTAGGCTTACATTTCCAAAATACCAATGGAAACCGTCCAACACTTCAACTTATCATCAAATAAAACTCGAATTCAAAGGAAAATTAGGGCTTCAATTTGTGTCAAATAGTTAATAGGTACCAAAAATTAAATGAATAGAAAGAGAAAACTCACATTTTCAACTCTGCTGACAATCTCCTTCAATTTTCAGACGGAGAACAAACAAGCCTTGAAGGAGAATTAGGCTTCTTACCTCTGCGACGGCCTCACACTAACTCGGAGAATGCGAAACTAAGGTTAGGGTTTCGAAGAGCAGCAGAACTAAACTAAACAGAGCCCAAATTTTGTCGGTAAATAACAAAAAGATTCAGTGAAAGCCAAGAGAAACAAAGATTAAGCGGGGAATAAAAGAAAGGAAATAAGGGGAATTTTTTCGACTTTGTAAATGGAAGATTGAGAAAAGTTAAAATCTGAAAACTGAAATGAGAGGAAATCCAAAGGGGGAAAACGAGAAAGGATTAGGAGGATTATGGAGACGGCTTATATAGGTCGACCGACTACAGGATGTGGCCTCAGGGTTTGAATATTTACGACAGATGCCACCGTCTTCACGTAGCGAAGTTACAGAATTATCCTTGCTGACGTGGGTCCGAAATGCCCCGATTAGTACGTCATCACGGCTAGTTCTCTTTCTTTCTAATCTATTAATTAATTAATTAACTAATAGGGATAGGGGTATTTTTGAGGAATGGGGTTGTTGGGGCGAGCTGGAATTTTAATATTTTATGAACTATAGTCTAGGCGGGAGTGGAGTCCCAACGGTGTACTGTGGTCTAGATCTAGCTAGAGACGTCGTCGTTTGGTCTTGCAGTTGCTGATGATGCGAGGAAATGGGCGGGAAATAGGTTCTGAGCCCTCAAGAGTGGCGGGAAGGTTCAGATTGGTTTCATCACTAATATGGAAAGGTTGGTACAGTAGTAGTACCAAGCAAAGCAAAGGTAGTATTTTATTTCGTAATATATATATATATGAGGTAAAGTTTATTTTATCCTAGTATTTCCTTGTCGATTGAAACCAATCAAAACATAAAAGCGAAGCGATAAAGCCTAAATATTTGTTCTTGCTTGAGATTGAAGTCTCCCTCCTAGCTAGGCTACCAACTTGATTGACTACTACAACAAGCATAAGGGAGGGAATTAATTAATGATTGAAAATCCTCCTGTGTCTTCTGTATATACATCCTCCAGGAAAATACTACGTACTACAAGCACAACTATCATTTTGGTAATTGTCCAAGTAGTAATAAAAATGCGTTGGTGAAATCCCATCAAGTGATGAAAAGTGAATTCATTTAATTTAAATTTAATGGGAAATAATAAAGGCAATCTCAATAGCTATATATCTCATGCTAGCTTGTTATATATAGCTCATGTTTCAGTGTGGATTTGTCTCCACATGGTTGAAGAACATTTGTTGATAACGATCTTTGCTTTACATTGCAGACGTACGAGTGTATCTCTGTAATTCACTGTCTTGAATCCAAAAGGGCTCACCTGGAAAATCGTTGCTGGAGGTGCTGCTACATGCTGATCATACTGTAAGTGATCTAGCTAATTAATGGATGCTACGTTTTACTTTCCATTGACCTTATCTTTAGCTCAAGTTTGTCCATAAAATGGTTTTAATAGTTATAATACGCAGGTTTAACATCATTTGCAATAGGAGAAAACGAAGGTTTTAAAAGAAGAAAATCATCCAATTGGCCCACGAGGGTACAATAAGAACATGAAACTGGTGAAAATGATGATTAATCTACAGCTATTTTTCTGTTACCTGTTAGTGGGCGTACGGTCCTGAATATCGCAATGCAAATTATTAAGTCCAATTAACAGTGTTAGAGTTGTGCAGTTAATGCTAATTGAAGCTTTTTTATATATTGAATGTATTTGCTTGTTCAAAACAATGGAAATTTTACTATAAAAGTCCTTTTGCTTCTCGAATGCCGAGCTAAAAGAGTCCCAACATTTGAAGGAAGTTTGATTTTGTTAGATGATTACAATAATGCTCTCTTGGCTAACTCTGCTATATAGTGTCCACATGCTCAGAAGATTATCAGATGATTAGATCGTTATAATCTAAAAATGATTGGGATTTAAAAGGAACGGGGAAAGTTCCTTTATTAAAGTGAAATTTATCTTGGATAAGGGTAATAAATAATAAAGGTCAAGATAAGACATTGCAAGCCTTATCACATCATATCATATTTCTATGGGCAACAGTTTCATTCATCCTCGTGAGAAACCGAAATTCACCTTCGATCAAAATTTAAACGTGTAACAAAAAATGCAAAAATTAGGGGATAGGAAATCAGAAAGATTGCTGTAATAGGTATGCGGTCATGGTTGTAGCGAGGAAGCAACTGCCTTGGCTTCACCCAGTACCATAATTTCATCATTTACATCTCCATATGGTGAAGTGAGCAAACAATTCAATGTCCAAGATATAGTCATCAGATAATACAACCAGATCCACCACTTTGGAATTTTCGGCAGAGGAAGAACAAAATATATAACCAGCCAGCCAGCCAAACGAATACCATCTCGAAGTAGTTACTATGTTTCAACATATTCATTCTTTCATGCTGTATTCATCTATGATATGGACAATAATAATAATAATAATAATAAGATCTGGACATGAATTTCTTTTTACAGGCCTTTCTCTGAGTCTGAGGGGATATTCATATAATACTAATAGCTTACCGGTTGAGGAATTGGGAAGCCAGAGAAAAGATTAAGCAGTTGGTAGAACTTAGAAGGCAGAGGATAAAGCTGCTGCTATTGTGACATCTGGTGTCAATGACTCAACAACATTCCAAAAACTTGGAAGTAGAGCTGTGTGCAGAACAAGGCATAGAAGTACCACAAAAACTTATATGCTGATCCATAGTAGCCAATCATGGGCTACGTGATAATCTCAAACGCTAGAGCTTGGATAAATAGAGATGGGGAAACTCAATTGTCACCTGCAAAATAATTAAGTCCCCTCATTTACTCTTTAAGGTCTATCAAGAATTCAGAAGACAACTACTCAACTCAACCAATAAAGAATAAAAAAAAAAAGAGTTGATAAAACTTATGACATGAAAGAAAACGTACATGTGCAAGTGCATAAACACTTACGGCAACACATCCTGCCAGGATGCAAATATATAGAGGGAAAATAGTTAAATTTAATTGTTAATCTGTACAATCTTCTTCAACAAACTCAATGAATAACTGCTTCAATTAAATCACATTGATAAGGAGTTAAACTTTTTGAGTTTGTTTAGAATAAATAATAATAAAAAAACCAACAATCAAGCTAAAAAATTTTCCGGAACTGGACCTGACTAACAAGTTCTACCCTTCAGGTTATGTTCTGGGGTTATGGAATATCAAAAGCAATTGACTATTCTTACCCTTTAAGATTAGACTCTTGCATTGGCTTTCATTCCTTAATTAATGATACATGACATGATCATAATCATGAGCATGAGTCCTGCAGCTGCATTCAAGTTAATGCTCTTCAATTTTCCCGATTATAACATAGCCAGTGTCTCATCGAAAATGTCTTCAATCCTGTACACACCCCTAGTAATCTTGGGTTCGTCAAACGCCAATTTCATACACAAACAAATCATCTCTTCCATCTACAAATTACATTCAACTTTAAAACTAATGGAGAAAGAACCAAAAATAATAATACAACGTAAAATAATAGGGGATTACCTTCCCCACCGTTCCCTACTTATCAACAGTTACGGAGACAAACCCAACAACTTCAAAAATATTTTAAGAATCCCACCCTTCATTCCCCATCCTGTTTGCAGTTTATGTTAAGATTGCATCCGCTTGCTCTCTGATCTGGAAGCTGGATAATCACTCTGATCTGTGTCAGAATTATACCTTTGTGAATCTATTTCCAAGTTACTTCCATGAGTCCTGCGAAGCCTTCGATCCTGAATTTCAAAATTTACCAAGTCATCTCTTTAAAGTTCACCAATACAGAACAGCCAATAAATCTATCAATTTATCAAATTTAAACTAGCCACTAAGAAGAAACCATCACATGCATCACGAATATCAGATTGTTTATAAGCATGATTAATTGTATCTGGGAGTGTGATATGAACGTAACTATTGGTAGGAAAGAAAACTTTCTGGTTAAAATATAGAAAGAAGGGAAAAAAAACATAAAGATACTATTCCTAGGGAGAAGTTGTTTACTAGATGCATCTTTTGATCACACAATTTAAGCAGAATAACTTGGTGAGTATTTCATTATAAAGGCAATAGATGAGAGGTACGAAATGAAGGGAGGAAAGAAATAGATTTGCTTATCATGATAGATATAAAGTCACACTAAGATAGTACCAGAATCAGTCAGTAGATAATACTCTTGGCAATTGAAGTGAGAAATGCTCGGCTATATCTTATGAAGCCAGAAAAATGCCACAAACAGTGAGCAATGGGATTCAAATTGACTCTACCATATTTTGAAGTTTAAACAAGTGTCTTTTTATTTTCACTTCTTTCTTTTTCATTAAGAATTATCCAAACTGAATCTACCATATATAGCATCATGCAAAAAAATGAATTTGACACTAACCTCTCTTGGTATGGGATACTCCTCAGACTCAAGCATTCGCACAACTTGGCCCATCTTGGGTCTTTTTTCAGAATCCGGATCAACACATCTCAAAGCAGTAAGAAGGGTGCGTTTTAGAGCTCTTGTTGATGGTCTAACCTCTATATTTGGGTCTACCACTTCCTCTGACCTCCTGCTTCCAACCATCATTTTCAGCCAATCTACCAAATTTACCTGTAAACATAAAAATTTCATGTTTAACAAAACTTTAAAAACTAAGGAATGCAATGGTAATATTTGTGTTTCTGAAAACAATTTCAATCCACCTAAATCAATTTGAATTAGACCTTTGACTAACTATGACCACAAAGTTGAAATTAGGAGCTTTACTACAGTATGGGTGCAGAATGCTGTTGACTTTTACATATTCAACTTAAGGGATGCCTTGGTGCTCTAAATAATTTTGAAGTCTGAAAAATTAGTTCAGAATTAAGATTAAAATTCAGGACAGTGTAGAAATGCCTCCCAAAACACAAGGGGGATAGAAGCATTCAACTGCAAATAGCCGGTAGTGCAGCCTTAGCCATTTAATTTTCAGGTACTTTTCTTAGCTCCAGAAATATAAAAATTTTACTTAGTTATGTACTTTGATCCATCACATCAAAGAGACAGAAAAACAATCACAATCAGTTCTCTAGTTAATCAATACAGATGAGACACAAGATGTCATTCCTTTTAACAGGAAGAGAGCATTCCTTAAGTTAATGCTAGTAATAGGCAGTAGTGGGCATGTAACAAGCTGCACTCCTATTATATGGTAAGGACACCTAAATCATCAAATGTCAACTGACATATTTCTACGATTTAGCAAAAAAAGCATTGAATTTAACTAGCTTTTGATAGCTATAATATAGTTTGCAGCACCATAGTAAAGAATGCATCAAGATTACAGTGTACCTCATGGGCAGGACGACCATAGTCCACAGGATCTCTACCAGTGATTGCTTCCAATAGTACAACACCAAAGCTATAGACATCACTCTTTTCATTCAGAAGGCCAGTATTTGCATATTCAGGGGCCACATATCTGTGTGATTTCAGGAAAACGGAAAAGTTGTTAAGAGATGACTATTCCTCAACAAACACATAAAGAAACAGAGAGAGAGAGAGAGAGAGTAGTAATAAATATATGAACATCAACACGCATTAGAGAAAATACATACCCAAATGTTCCCATAACTCGGGTTGTGACATGACTTTTCCCGGCACCCAGCAACTTGGCCAGACCAAAATCAGAAACTTTGGTATTGAAGTCCTCATCAATCAATATATTGCTGGACTTAATGTCCCGGTGCACCACCTTTGGTTCAATAGCCTCGTGCAAGTAGGCAAGACTGCAAGAAGAACCATCATGTCATATGAGAACTGAACTAATGACAATGTATACAAATATATCACTTACGCCTTAGCTGTGCCAAGGAGAATTTTAATGCGAGCCTCCCAAGTAAGATATCCATGCTGACGCATAGCTCCATGAAGCCATTGTTCCATGTTCCCATTGTTGACATACTCATAAACCAACATCCTGAAATTTTAAATCATATGCCCTTTGTTAATAACAGCCATAAGCCAGAAACTTAATCAATATCTGGATAGCAGCAGGACTGACACTCCTACTGAAATATTTAAGCCCCAAACTATTTTTCCATGAGCCTCTTAATTTTATTACTGCCAAGGCCATTATCTACGTAATTATTCAAAATTTAAACCAGGCAAAAACATAGTAAAAGAAGACTTCACCTGTGTGTTCCTTCAATACAGTAACCCAAAAGACGAACCAAATTCTTGTGGCGCACATGCCCAATGGCTTCTACTTCCACTCTAAATTCTTTCTCTGCTTGGCCCCTACAGAGAAATATTAAGAAGCTCAGCTAAAGAAGGACAAGAAAATAACACCATTTTTTAAGTTTACACATATATACTCACAAGTTGTTGAGGATCTTTTTCACTGCCACTGGCGTCCCATTGATCAATTGGCCCCGAAAAACAACGCCATATCCACCCTCTCCCAGAACATTTTCCTTTGAAAACCTGTTTGTGGCTAGTTCAAGATCCCTCAATGTAAACCAGTGACCCCAACCCAAGTGAGAGAATTCAGGCAGGCCAACTAGAGGAGAAGGAGCAGTAATGGGATATGAAGAAGAGGGTTTGTATACAGTTACTGTGCCAGAGCTCCCTTCTTCTCCTGATTGAGACCCTGCACCATCTTTTTCTAAATGGTGAAATGAACCTGACTGACTACTATTGTCTCCATTCTTGGATTTTCCCATCCCCAGATGAACCAGAACCTTATCTGACTCTTTGTCACTGGATTTGTCTTGAATGGTGAGAAGAATACCATCACGAGGAACAAAATCATTGGTTGATATTTGCTCCACACTGACTTCCTTAATTTCCTTAGAAATAGATGGGATTTGGGTAACGGGAAGCTTATTTCTAGCTCTTGATTTCTTCCGGGAAGTTAAAAAAAATGACAGCAGAGAAAGTATGATTATGATAAATAATGCAACAACAATCCCAATAACCTCCCAGACCTTAAGACCAAAAATGGCAGTCTTCTTGGATAATTCTGCATTGAGATCAGTTGCCATGTCTGTTTTTCCTTATTTTCTTTCAGATATTCTGAACCTACATGATTAACACAAGACATAAAGAAAGAAATTTGCCTGATACATAAATCATAAACTAGAAAATAAGGTTCCTATTGCTCCACATCCATATGACCGTATTAAAATTTGCATTCCATATCTTATATTTTAGGGCATTTCCAGACAAGCAACCAAGGAGCAGAAGCATCAAGCTACGGAAAAAAAACCCTTTGTTTTACCAAATAAACAGATCGGAGAACATTGTTGAACAATTAAGGCCCCAAATACAAAGAAACGATTTTCTGTGTAACATAAAAGCAAAATTTTGACACATAAAAAAGAACAAATAAACAAATGCGGCATCTTTACCTTCCAGCAGTAAAGTTCAGATCTCGAACTAACAAACATAAAAGCAGCCAATTAAGGAAGCCCAAATGTGGCCACTTCCCAGAAACAACAGCAGCCCATTGAAGAAACCCAAATGCACCCACTTTTCAAAAAAAAAAAAGGCAGTTAAATAGCTAAAAGAAGATGATTTGTTTTCTGGGGAAATGTGGAGGTGAATCTAAGCTGGAGTGGAGCTATCTGGTACCAGAAATGAGGGTCCTTGTAAAGGCAAAGGCAAAACCAGAAAGGCAGAAATGAAAAGGAAAGGCCTGAGGCTGGGAGAAGTTGATGAACATAGAAATGGATTGAGACTTGAGAGGTAAATGGTGGGGAATAATAATAATAAGAGAAGAAGATGAAGATGAAGAAGGGATGGAGTTATCAGTGGTTGGTGAAGAGTTTAGATGCCGTACACAACATTACGTGTTAATAATACATACAGTAAAACACAAGCATGCATTTTGCAAATCTCTGAAGCCATAAAAATCATGACTTTTTGTCAGTAATTTACTATTTTTCTTTACTCTTCCCTTCCATCTTTCTTCACTAAAAAAATTTATGCCGTGAGTAACTGCAATTCAATTAAAATCTCCTGTCTTTCCCTTTGTTTTTAGAGCTCTATCGAATATTTTTAATTCACTCCTATATGACTAGTCAAACATCTCAATTAAGATAGACCAGTAGTATTAGCATAGAAAAGATAATTATGATGGTGGAGAGGATAAATAATGAGCAAATCAATGTGATATATAAAGTTGAGTGCTGGTCAAATGAATAGGAATAGGAACGGTTGTTAGAAGTCTCACCCATCAGTTTACACCTTCAAACATGTGATGTCGATAATAAATAGAAGTTTGTTTTTATCTCTTTTGATTTCCACAACAAAAGCTTGATTAAAACTCTTCAGTTTGGTTTTATTAATTTAAAATTAAATTATTTTAAATTGAATTAATTAAATCATTTTATTTTATTTTTATTAATTGAGTCAAATTTTTTATTTTTAAAAATTAATCTATCAAAATTAATTTGATCAATTCACTTAATTTTTTAATCAATTAAATTATAAAATATATTAAAATTTTATTTTTATATATGAAACAAATTAAATAAAATTCAAATATCAAAATATTAAATTAAAAACTCTAAAATTTGAAATGAACTGAATAATTTTATATATTTTTAATTTTATATATAAAATTTATAATATTTTGATTAAAATTATGATTAATTTAATTCGAATCAAAAATTTTTAAAAATTATTTTTATTAATCTATCAAAATTAATTTAATAATCAATTAATTAATTAATTTAATCAATTTGATTAGTTAATTTAATTAAAATTGAATTATAAACATCTCTAATCAAAATTGATAATGCTCTCCCTCCAGCTAAACTCATGATCAAGTTAATTAATTTCAAAGTGATATTCACTATATGCACTTTACTTTGTTTAATTAGTAACAGAAACTATATATATATATATATATATATATATCTAAATTCAATTCTCAGCGTCAAAGCAAAACGAAGAGAAAAGCAAACATCAGTTTGGGCTTAATACTTAGTTGGATTCATATTGTTAGAATTATTATATAGATTGTCCAACGAAAGGCATTAATCCACCCAAACCCCAGTTTCAAATAGGATTTCAACACTTTTTAAAACGAGGGTTATGTTTATTTTGTGGAAATGATTTTCAAAAGTTTATTAAAATTATTTATATTTTTTGAAAAAATAAAAATTTTCTGTTATTCGGTTAAAGAAGTGAAAAATATTTTCGACTGTTTAATTATTTTTAAGAAACTCAGTTTTGTACTTAAATAATATTAATAAAATTATTAAACTATTTTACATTATTTATTATTAATTAACGTGCCACCAGCAACAATCAGTCCATCGCGCAATATCCCCAAAAAAAATATATATATATAAAAGAAGTTAATGCTCAACCTCAACCTGCAGATATCTTCTCAAGTCTTTAATTGTACACTGTTGTACATCTAGCACTAGCTGGCTCCGCCTTTTACAATACGTCTTAATTTTTAGTAGCCATTACCATGAAATGAAATCAATTGCATGCGCTTATCGGTATTTGTTTCTGCTAATTGCCATAGCATGAATGTTTTTTTTTAATTGAAGCAAAAAAAAAATTTTGTATTCAAAGAAACACAACATCTTATTATAAAAAAAAAAAAAAACTTAGATTCGAATCTAAATTTTAATATCTCTTTAAAGTTTTTTTTATCATTAAATCAACAAGCGAAACATAATTGAAGCAAAATTTTTATTAAACAAAAAGAGATATAAAGTTATAACCAAACCACTAAGGCTTCCTTTGGATCTAACCAAAGCATTAGTACGTGGCGAATAACATGCTTTTTACCTTATTTTACACCAGTAAAATCATTTGGATAGCATCGATGCAGTATGTTTACATCAACAGGACTGAGAATTTGAATCCGAAGGTTACAATGGAGACTCTCCCCTTCCACCGCAACTCATTTTTTTCATTTTTAACCTCACTTTCTTTTATTTTACCTTTAAATTATAGTGTAAGGACAAAAATATCTCTAATATTTTAATTTTTGTTTTTTTTTTTTTATTTTCTCATTTTATTTTTAATTTAAAAATTTTCAAATAATTTTATTAATTTAATATAATAAATAAAATTTCAAAGAATTTTATTTAAAATTTTTATTATATTTAAATTTTAACATAATATTCTTAATAATTATTTTTTTATTACACTTTACTTTATCATCATCATTACGTTTATATTTAAACATAAATTTCACAATTAATTTTAATCTCACTATAATAATAATTAATCTCACTAATATTATTATTTTCAATTTTATCGTAACTAAATTTATCATCCATCTCCAATGGATCCTAAATCTAAAGTCCAATAAACTCTCGTCTTAAAGGGAATTAGTCAAGCAGTTTGTCTCTCTGGTAATTGCTATAGCATGAAATTAATTAAAGCACATTTTTTATCTCCATTTTTTTCTCTTAACTAGTCTATTTATCTCCATTAATTTTTTACCTCTATCGAATAGATATTGAAAGACAGATATACAAGTATTATTATATAAAGATGTCAATTTTATCCATATTTAATGAGAAATTTGACTTTTTACTCAAATAGAGATAGAGATAGGAATGTTGTGAGTATGTAAATGAGGATGAAAATGGGATGAGAATGAATAAAATGAATATTATATTGTAAGTACGAGAATAATAATGAATTTAAATATTTATCAAGTACAGAGATAAGAACGAGTAATATAATATTCGTCTTGTACTCAGTCTTTATTATATATTTATATATATATATTTAGTAAATAAAATTTTTATTAAATAATATAAATTATTATTTTAGATTAATTAAATTTAATATATTTTTATTGAAAAATAATATTTTAATATCTAATTTTAAAAAATTACATACATATATAAGATAACAATAAAAAAGTTTAAAAAATAAATTTTTATTTTTATTTTTTTAAAACTATAAGTATGAGAATTACCTATACTCATTAAATACTCACGAAAATAGATATGAAAATAAATTTAAAATATCCATTAGATATAAGTACAGAGACGAATATAATATAAAAATTTATGAATAAAAATGAAAAAATACTCTATTTTACTTATACCTTACCCATTGACATTTTGTAGACCGCAAAGACATATTCATTTTTGAGTGTTTAACTAGTTCAAGGCTTTTCAAAGTGTTAGAAACAATATTGATGGTTCAGATTAACTTGTACTTGTTTGTCCTTAGTTACTTTTGTTATCTCCACCCATGTATCCCTTTCTCAAAAGGAATATATATATTATGTATATATATATATATTTGTATATATACATATATACACTAATTTTAAACACATGTGTAACAAATATGTAATTTTTATTTTTATGTAATTTAATAGAATCGTAGACTTTGTTATGATTCATTGATTTAACTATTTTTTTCACGATGTCTAACCATTTGCTAGAATTAACATTTTTTATGTCTTGTGAAAACTAAAATGATTCTTTATCAATTTTTAAGTTAAATTTTAATTCTTATATATATAGATCATATATTTATAAAAATAAGTGTATCTCATTTGCTTTTGAAATCTTTTTAATGCTACTTTACGTGGTTTTTCTATTGTGAGTAGGGATGGCATCGGGTCGGGTTTGGGGCGGGTTTTGCTCGGCCCGAACCCGACCCGACTTTATGCTTTAGCATACCCGAACCCAACCCTACCCGATTTTTTTAATACTCGAACCCAACCCGACCCGACACTATATAAATCGTACCCGACCTGACCCGAAATTAATAAAATATTATTTTTTAAAATATAAAATATTATTTTTTAAATATAAATATTTAAAATATCATTATATAAATATATATATATATATATAAATAATAATTAATTTATATAATGTCGGGTCGGGTTGGGTCGGGTTTTAGGCATACCCGAACCTAACCCGACCCCGATTATTCTCTAACTATACTCGACCCGACCCGAAAATCGAAATTCAAAAAAAAAAAACCCGACCCTATAGGGTCGGTCGGGCCGAAACCCGTCGGGGACGGGGTTGATTGCCGTCCCTAATTGTGAGTTAATGGATATCAATGTTATTATAGGGTGTTTGATCATTTATATGTTATTCTTGTAAGTTGTTACACGATTCAACAACTGTAGGTATAACAACTTAAGAAAAAGTTATAGATAAAGGAATTTGCACTCTAAATTTTAGAATTTTCACTTTACATGGTTTTACACTCCCACTAATTTCACTATCTCAATAAACCTAGTATTACCAATTTCAACAATTCTTGTATTATGATTAGAATAATAAAATTTGTACCCTTTAGACTTTTTGGAATAACCAGTGAACAAACCACTAGTTGTTCTTTAATCCAAATATTTGGATTATAACTTCTTATTTTCATAGGAAACCTTAAATATGCAAGTGTCCTAAATTAGCACAATTATGCTTTTCATCCGTAGTTTAAAAGAAATTTTTTGAACTGTTCTACTATGAATCCTCCTTAACAAATATATGACACTCTTTAAAAGATGCATCCTAAATGATAATGGTTAAAATACACTGCTTAACAAATAAATTGTTTAATGTACAATTATGCTTTTTTGCATCACTATTTTTTTTACAATATACCTAACATTGTGTATTGAGCATAGATGCCTATCTTTTAAAGAATTTAATCATTATTCGGTTTTATCATATTTTCTATAATATTCAATTCCCTGTCAGACCTTTACAATTTTCATTTATAATGTGAAAAATTATCAATAAATGTAATAAAATATTGTCTAAATCAAAAGACCCATATATATTAGTGTTTATAATTTTAATAAGTTATGAACTTATTGTGATTGCTTTTTTTTAATTTATTTTTGTGTTTTCTAATACAATCAACAAAATATCAAGAACAGTAAAATCCAAAATTAAAAGGATTTCAATTTTTACTAGTCTTTGTAATATTTCCTTGGATACGTGATCCAAACGTACAAGTTACAAGTGAGCTAAGCTTTCATTTCCTATACCACATTTAGTTCAAACATTATGATGTGGAGTCAATAAGGTTTTAGCAAAAAATTATAAGTTTTAATTTCTATAAACATCACTGTCGTAA